GTTGGTTATTGTAAACGTTTTAAATGGTAAGAAAATCAGATTCGGAGCTTTTGTTCAAAACAAAAAGTCAGAGTAGGAGCTTCGATTTCAACTCAAAACTTATCCGATAGTTGAAAATGTGTACTTTCTATAAATAAAATAAAATGATATTTTAGACGTTATGCATATTTTTATGAGTGATATGTATCTAACGTGTAACTGTGGGTGCGAAAATTTATTCAGGAAGAGAAGAGTGTGGCTTGGAACATTCGAAACGGCAGAAGCGGCGGCGAGAGCTTACGACCAAGCGGCTCTACTAATGAACGGCCAAAACGCCAAGACCAATTTCCCTGTCGTCAAATCAGAAGAAGGCTCCGATCACATTCACGACGTTAACTCTCCGTTAATGTCACCAAAGTCATTATCTGAGCTCTTGAACGCTAAGCTAAGGAAAAGCTGCAAAGACCTGACCCCGTCGCTTACGTGTCTCCGTCTAGACACCGATAGTTCTCACATTGGAGTCTGGCAAAAACGGGCCGGGTCGAAAACGAGTCCTACATGGGTCATGCGGCTCGAACTAGGGAACATAGTCAACGAAAGTGTAGATGAATTGGGGATTAATACGACGAAGAAACCAAACGTTGAGAAAGAAGAAGAAGAAACTAATGATGATGATGAGAATCAATTGGCTATGGAGATGATCGAGGAGTTGTTGAATTGGAGTTGATTTTTGACTTGTTGAAAGTCAAAACGAGAATAAAGGTTTTTACAAAATTTATTTCCGGATTTTTAATATTTCATGGAACTTCATATAGTGTCATGGCGATGGATCTATATATTTGATTGATTATATACATGTAAGAAAACTGTTAAAAAAAAAGATACGTAAGAAATGTAATATATATACACTTGGTGGATATACAAAAATTGTTGGATTTGGGTATTCTATTGATGTGTGTATTTTTTTTTGGTTGCTGTCACTGGTTGTAAGAAGATAATCAACCTTAGTTGCTAAAGTTAAGGTGCTAAGATTATTTAATAATTTTTAACCCATTAGCAACCCATTTTTNAAATGCTAAAATGCTAAAATTAACAACTCAATGTTGAAGTTTTAAAGATTATTTAATTATTTTTAACCTTTAGCAACCCATTAAAAAACTCTTAACATCCAACATTGATCATGTTCTAATAGCATTGCGATTTTTTTTTGTTGTCATTAGTACTATACAAGAGGTGATAAAATGTGCATCGAGACGTATGAAAACGTTTTAATTTAAAATAGCGGATTTAAATTACAAATTTAAACGATGTAAAAAAAAGACGAACATATCAAAGCTAGGACTTGTTTTACTGTTTGACTTGATGAATAACAAAAGTCAAATCTGGTTGTTTTGCCTCCAATTATATATAGATCATGTAGTTTCGAGGTGTTTTATTGTTTTCACTTTTCTACACGATTAAAAAGAAATATAATAAAGCAAAATATTATACGAAAGGCAACATTCAATTTCGGTATTAGATTCAGAAATGTCATGTGCTGTAAAATGACTTTTTTGAAACATTCGATATCAAACCCTAGAAAGACAACAAATAAAAGACAATGCTACATGAATAAAACAAGTCTGAATCATGACATCATATTGCGAATGTAGACAATTTTAAGATGAAGAGTACAATCTACTAAGTATCTCTCGCTCTCTCTCCTTTTTAAGAATTACAAACGGTCTAAAGATTTTATCAAAACAGAATAGCACAAAGAGGAAGGGATAATTGCAAATCTCCACGGCCCTATTCCCTCACCCCAACCAGGTTGAAATCTTAAGACGGCACTGCAACAAATACGAAAGAACAACAATGTAAGTGTCAAAAAAACGAAGAAGACAATCCACACAAATTGATACAAAGATCCGACACTTACTGTAGGTGGAGGTATCAATTTGCTCAGGAAGTTCCTTTATATCAACCTCAAACCTCTCTTGTACCTGTCCACAAATTTAAATTATAATCGAACACAAACAATATCAAATGGATGATATGGAAGATGGATTCCTTAAACGAAGAGGATCCAACACCAAACCTGATTAAGAACTCCGGAATCTGATGTTGATGAGACAAATGTGATTGCAAGACCCTTGGTTCCAAACCTACCAGCTCTCCCTACCTATACCATCGTAGTTATGTGTGTTGTAAATGAGAACCAAGAAATCTATATAAAACTAGCTTGAGAATTTTATAAACGAGAATGTGTTTTTTTACCCTGTGAAGATATGTATCAGCCGAATCTGGCATGTCATAGTTGATGACAATGTTGACGCGCTCAATGTCAATTCCTCTCCCTACCAGATCTGTCGCCACCAGAATCCTCTTGTGCCCTTCCTTGAAACTCTTGTATCGAGTTAACCTACATATTACACAAGGCTCACTTACTACTGTGCAGAAGGAGATTCAATTTCAAGATAATGCTCAAGAAATATACAAACCTCTCTTCCTGAGACATTCCTGAGTGAATGCATATTGAGGGGAAATTGCATTCCACCAGCAATTTGTTCAGCTCCGCAGCCCTGCTCACACTCTTCACAAATATCACAACTTGATTGAAGTCCAATGCATCGAGCAGGTCATTCAGCTTGCGGTTTTTCTCCATCTCGGTCAGTTTGATGTAGTGCTGTTACAACACAGCACAGGAAAATGGTCAAACAGTCGGTAACCTATATAAATTAACCTGGAGAACAAGAAGACTACACATTAGTTAAATAAGGTACCTGCACAAGCCCGTGAAGGGTCAACTTGGCTTCATCATCTACATATATTTCCATTGGCTGAAAGGCACATTTGTCAGAGTAAAGTGTATTAGCAAGCCTTCCTTAGGCAATGGTATCCCAGTACAAAAATGATGATGGACGAAGAACACCCGAACACAGATCCGTGATCCTTGTCTTGCCTCATCAAGGAGTTTTGCAAGGAAACATCAGACGTTGCTCGGATCATAAGGTTGAGCACGATGAAACTTTGAGACCTTTGCAACACCCCAACTCAATACCCACCCAGCAGTGTTAGCATTGCAAAGAACTATAAAAGGAAGGAAAAACACTATAACGAAAGAAAGTACCACTGAGCAAAGACATCACTGAACCACACCAACACTAGTAGACACTTCAACGTCTCCTAATTCTGCTAACCCCGACAAACTACCCAAAGCATTATTCGACTGAGAATAAACCTACGATCTCCCAGAGAAGGCTAGAAATAATTAAGAATACAGGACTTGCAAACCGAGAGAGTATTGGCGGTAGGAAATTACATCTTGCATAAATTTCTTGCAGACTGGGCGTATCTCTTTGCTGAGCGTCGCTGAGAACATCATAACTTGTTTGTCGTGAGGAGTCATCTTGAAAATCTCCTGCACATCTCTCCTCATATCTGTTAAAGAGAAGCCACAAATGTTTAAACATACAATTATTCAGGAATAGAAAGGATATCTAATACAAAAGGATGTCAGAATTCGGCATACCAAGTGACTCGAGCATTTTATCACATTCGTCAAGAATAAAATGCCTCACATTCTTCAAAGAGAGATCTTTGTCCCTGGCAAGTGCAAGCACCCGACCAGGTGTTCCAACAACAATATGAGGACATTCATTCTTCAGCAAGTCTTTGTGAATTTTAATGTTGACTCCACCATAGAATACTGAAACCTTTGTATCAGGCAGATAGGTACTGAATCGCTCAAACTCATTGCAGATCTGCAAATAATTTTCAGCATCAAGATAAAATAAGCACCAGACAACTTGGGGAAAGCTAGTGGAACAATTAGAAGTCGAGAACCCAAGCAAAAAGAGCATACCTGGTAAGCTAACTCTCTTGTATGGCACAAGACAAGTGCAGAAACCTGGCCAGGAGATGGTTCGATCTGTTGCAAAGTAGACAGCACAAACACAGCAGTCTTCCCCATACCAGATTTTGCTTGGCAGATAACATCCATTCCCAAGATAGCTTGAGGGATACATTCATGTTGAACTGGTGGAGAACCAAAGAAAATTGCACCGAAGGAACCCGTTATAAGTAGAATATAGCCTCCATATCTTTATAATCGGTGGCTTTACCACATGCTAAGCTCACTCGAAACCAATAGATTGAAATAGCGTTTATTACCTGGAAAACATAATCAATCAGAAGTTAATAGATATGCAAAAACAACAGAAACTCTAACCAAATAATCAGGACAACACATATTGGCTAAAACCTAGTGAGGTGATTCAATTTCAACACGAAATTACCAACACTAGACTGCCCGATACATAATATAAGACAAGGGAATTACGCGCAGAGGAAGAAATTTGTGTAGTTTTCTGCTACGTCTAGTCACCATTAAACGGTGCAAGGCCAACAAAACTTATCAGGCTGTTATATCAAGTCACCATTAAACGACAGCTAAAACAGCTCATAAGGAAGTCAATTATCTAGATTTATGCACTTGTAAGGAAGAAAAACTCAATGATAGGGTGAGAACTGATATATACTTGCCTTCGGATGGATGTTCAAATCCTGAGTCAACAATAGCTCGGAGAAGCTCCGGTTTCAAAAGGAAGTCTCTGAATCCAGAACTGTGTATCCNCACGTACCCTCTGGCCCACAGAAGAAAAACGATATCAGAAAGAGGATTACAAATCATAACGAAAATTGCTAGTTTCCAGGAACCATCTTCCTAGCTAATTGCTACTCTCACAGGCAAACGACTAAAGAAACCTCAAATATATCATGAAACAAATCGAGCAGACAAGTACTCACTTTTTCACGGCTTCGCCGTTAACTTTATTTCCAGAATCTGGGACCTTCTCGTCTTCTTCCTCATAGTCCAAAAGCTCCTCCTCGTAGGCTTCGTTGTCTCTAGCGTCTCCCATACTTGGCAAATTCTTAAAACTGCAGAAAATTTTCTGGTAAGATTGCGAACCCAAAACAAAAACCTAAGATTCAGTGAGACCGCATCTTAAATCTAAACCTCAAACTCTTAACAGTGCGAACACGATGAAATTTCTAGGAATCAGTGAGAAAATCTGAGTTTAGAGCGAGAAAATTTACCAGAGATATGAGCAGAGTTGCTTGGATCTCGAAATCGATTAGGGTTTCGAAATATCTGAGTGAAGAAAATTAGAACACCGACGCAGGGACGGTGTCAAGAGATATATATAGAGGGAGACTATAGGGTTGAGGGCGAGTCTATAATGGGCTTTTTTATAATGGGCCTTAAATCCCGGAATCGGCCTTGCGCGGAAATAATACATATATATTTTTTTTGATCTACAAACTGTTGAACAAAAGTTGGTTGTGAAAATTTTGACTATGATTTTGTTTTTTGTTTTTTTAATTATAGTTGTGACTTTTAGGAAAATAAAAGTCAAAGTTAAAGTTGTGATTGGTACAAAGAGGAAAAAATGGTAAGTACATTTATGGTGGTAAAATTTGCTATTGAAAACATGAGAATTCAAGATTGTCATGGCGGTACAACTTTTGTTTTGAAGAAAACATATATAGCTGACAAATTGTACATAGCACATTATTTATTTTGTATTGTCTCGTAATTCATCAACGCACATTAACATAATTGGACATGTTAAACAGAAGCATGAATAAAAAAAAATAAAAAAATTACAGTATTGATATAACGAAAAAATCACAAAAAAAATCTCGAAGAATTACAAATTCTAGGCCCATAAAAATAAAGGCCGATTAAGACTCAACTCAACCCTATCCAGTCTCACTAGTCACACACTACATATCTCTCTTTTGACTCAAAGCTCCGATATTTTTCTTTTCTTTTTGCAATCGGAGATTTCGAAACCCTAATTCCGATTTCGAGATCTAACCTACTCTGCTCAGTTCTCAGGTAAACTTCCTCGCTCTCAATTCATCAGATTTCTCCGAGAAACCTTTAGTTGCATACAACTATCCAAGTCTTGACGCTTTCTCCACGAATCTTAGGTTTTTTCTTCTTTTCTTTATCTGAAATTTCTCTTCTGTTTGTAGAACTTGTGAAGTATGGGAGATGCTAGAGACAACGAAGCCTACGAGGAGGAGCTTCTGGACTATGAGGAAGAAGACGAGAAGGTTCCGGATTCTGGAAATAAAGTTAACGGCGAAGCCGTGAAGAAGTGAGTTTTTTTTTGTCTTCTCGATCTGTTTCATTAGATACTGTGTGTTTTCTATTCGAGATTGTTCTGAGATTACTGCTTGTTAGAAGTGAAGGTTTTCATCAGTCGTTTGCTTATGAGAGTAGCAATTTGTTAATTCTCTAATGCGAAACTTTCTGGAAAGTAGCAGTTTTTCGTATTGATTTGTAATCCTCGTTCTGATCTTGTTTTGTTTTTCTTTGTGGCAGAGGGTACGTGGGAATACACAGTTCTGGATTCAGAGACTTCCTTTTGAAACCGGAGCTTCTCCGAGCTATTGTTGACTCAGGATTTGAACATCCATCCGAAGGCAAGTATATATCTGTCTTCACTATACCTTTGAGTTTTCTGCATAACTTTGTTGCCGAATGATATGATTAAAATCTAGAGAGAGGACTTCCGAATGAGCTGTTTTAGTTGTCGTATAATACAATTTTGCTGCCCTTCCCTTGTTTCTGATCTAACAGTCTGACTAGTTTTGTTGGCCTTGCACCCTATCTTTGCCTTTTCAGTTTCTGGCCTTGTACCATTTTGTAGTCGAATGTGTGGTAGAAATGACCTCCCACCATGAGCTGCTTTTGTTATCGTATGATGTAGTTTTGAGAAGATGTGTTGAATTAAGATATTTTTTACTTTATCTTGGTCCTTTGCTTGTCACCCAACTAAGTTTGAACAACTGTTTGTTGTGCTGACTCTGCGGTTAGATTCTCTATTAGTTCCTTTTGTAATTGTTTTTGTTTTGTTCTCTATTAACATTTCACTGATTATGTTATCCAGGTAATAAACGCTATTTCAATCTATTGGTTTGGAGTGAGCTTAGCATGTGGTAAAGCCACCAATTAAAAAGATATGGAGGTTATATTCTACTTATAACGGGTTCCTTCGGTGCAATTTTCTTTGGTTCTCCACCAGTTCAACATGAATGTATCCCTCAAGCTATCTTGGGAATGGATGTTATCTGCCAAGCAAAATCTGGTATGGGGAAGACTGCTGTGTTTGTGCTGTCTACTTTGCAACAGATCGAACCATCTCCTGGCCAGGTTTCTGCACTTGTCTTGTGCCATACAAGAGAGTTAGCTTACCAGGTATGATTTTTGCTTACGTAACTTGGGTTCTCAGGCTTATAATAGTTCTGTTTTCTGTCCCCACGTTATCTGATGCTGAAAGTTATTTGCAGATCTGCAATGAGTTTGTGCGATTCAGTACCTATCTGCCTGATACGAAGGTTTCAGTATTCTATGGTGGAGTCAACATTAAAATTCACAAAGACTTGCTGAAGAATGAATGTCCTCACATTGTTGTTGGAACACCTGGTCGGGTGCTTGCACTCGCCAGGGACAAAGATCTCTCTTTGAAGAATGTGAGGCATTTTATTCTTGACGAGTGTGATAAAATGCTCGAGTCACTTGGTATGCCGAATTCTGACATCCTTTTGTATAAGATTTCCTTCCTTTTCCTTAATAATTGTATGTTTAAACATTTGTGACTTCTCTTTAACAGATATGAGGAGAGATGTGCAGGAGATTTTCAAGATGACTCCTCACGACAAACAAGTTATGATGTTCTCAGCAACGCTCAGCAAGGAAATACGCCCAGTCTGCAAGAAATTTATGCAAGATGTAATTTCCCACCGCCAATACTCTCTCGGTTTACAAGTCCTGTAGTCGTAAATTATTTCTAGCCTTCTCTGGGAGATCGTAGGTTTATTATCTATCAAATCGCATTTGGGTAGTTGTCGAGGTTCGCAGAATTAGGAAACCCTGAAGATGTCAACTAGTGTTGGTGTGGTTCAGTGGGATTTTCTTTCGTTATGGTGTTTTCCCTTCCTTTTTTAGTTCATTGCAATGCTAACACTGCTGGGTGGGTTTTGAGTTGGGGTGTTGTAAAGGTCTCAAAGTTTCATCGTGCTCAACCTTAATGATCTGAGCAACGTCTGATGTTTCCTTGCAAAACTCCTTGATGAGGCAAGACAAGGATCACGGATCTGAGTTCGGGTGTTCTTCGCCCGTCATCATTTTTGTACTGGAAACCGTTGCCTAAGGAAGGCTTGCTAATACACTTTACTCTGACAAATGTGCCTTTCAGCCAATGGAAATATATGTAGATGATGAAGCCAAGTTGACCCTTCACGGGCTTGTGCAGGTACATTATTTAACTAATGTGTAGTCTTCTTGTTCTCCAGGTTAATTTATATAGGTTACCGACTGTTTGACCATTTTCATGTGCTGTCTCTGTAACAGCATTACATTAAACTGACCGAGATGGAGAAAAACCGCAAGCTGAATGACCTGCTCGATGCATTGGACTTCAATCAAGTTGTGATATTTGTGAAGAGTGTGAGCAGGGCTGCGGAGCTGAACAAATTGCTGGTGGAATGCAATTTCCCCTCAATATGCATTCACTCTGGAATGTCTCAGGAAGAGAGGTTTGTATATTTCTTGAGCTTTATCTTGAAATTGAATCTCCTTCTGCACAGTAGTAAGTGAGCCTTGTGTTATATGTAGGTTAACTCGATACAAGAGTTTCAAGGAAGGGCACAAGAGGATTCTGGTGGCGACAGATCTGGTAGGGAGAGGAATTGACATTGAGCGCGTCAACATTGTCATCAACTATGACATGCCAGATTCGGCTGATACATATCTTCACAGGGTAAAAAAACACATTCTCGTTTATAAAATTCTCAAGCTAGTTTTATATAGATTCTTGGTTCTCATTTATAACATACATAACTATGATGGTCTAGGTTGGGAGAGCTGGTAGGTTTGGAACCAAGGGTCTTGCAATCACATTTGTCTCATCAACATCAGATTCCGGAGTTCTTAATCAGGTTTGGTGTTGGATCCTCTTCGTTTAAGCAATCCATCTTCCATATCTTCCATTTGATATTGTTTGTGTTCGATTATAATTTGAATATGTGGACAGGTACAAGAGAGGTTTGAGGTTGATATAAAGGAACTTCCTGAGCAAATTGATACCTCCACTTACAGTAAGTGTCGGATCTTTGTATCAATTGTGTGCACATTCTTGGTTTTGCCTTGTCAGTTTTTTTGACAGTTGCATTGTTGTTTCTGCTTCTTTGTTGCAGTGCCGTCTTAGAGTAGGCTTTGTCTCTCTGGAGGAGACCTCTTCAGTTTACAACCTTTTATAGGTGCTTGAAGCGGTCATGGAGGTTCTGAACTATCCCCTCGCTATGTTTGTTGCTATTTTAGTCTTTTCTCTGAGGACACAGTTTGTAATTCTCGAAAAAAGAGAGATGAGATTTACTCTACGAATCGCACTGTTAAAACATGTCCTGTTTTGTGTCCTGTTTAGATATTCTCTAGTGATTTTGGTACGAAGTGACCGTCATCATGTTGCAAAAATAAACTTTAAAAATTCAAATTAGAGAAAACGAAATCTGTAATGGTAGCTATTTGTTCTATAAGGAAGAGAATGCAAAACATGAACTGGCTACATCCATCTAACTATACAGAATTCATCCTCGAAGGCTGGGCAACTCTTCGTAAAGGTTCAATAGTCTTTGAGGTCAGTTTCTTTCCGTGTCGGTGGCGAATTGTGCCTTCTGATGATTCGATGAGTGGTTGATTTTGCACCAGAAGTGGCTTGACTTCCAGAATATGATGCTCATTAGTACCTGCTTCATCTCCATCTCCAACATTGTCTTCATTATCGTATTGATCATTTGGTGCATTGGCGTGGTGTTCAAGCCTATGGCTTGGCGGATTGCGTTGTCTCCTTTGGTATAGCTTAGACGCCAACATGAGCAAGAGTAGAAGCAGAGAGGCAACAAAGACGATCAGAAATAGAGCTTCAAAGCTATGGTGATCGAGCTGGATTGGAGAATCTGTCATGGTCGAATGAAGACAACTTTTTTCTCCAAGTAACCACTTATTCTCAATGGCTCTCATTGTCTCTCCTTCTGTTAAGTTCAAGATTTGTCTTGAAATATCTGACACCAACGGGGAGCCCAATGGAAAAGCCTGCCAAAAACAAAACACTTGCGAAATTATTGGAGCTAACTTGGGAAGCCATAGAAATCCTAGTTAAGAACAAACCATCAGTTTCGGTCTCCAGTAGAGTAACCAGCTTTACTTACAAAGCCAAAGCCATCAGCCTTAAAGGTAGGCTCAATGATGGAATACTGTGAGCAATATTTAGCCATGAAAATCTTGATGTAAGCGACTTCATCGAAGGCAGCATCTATACCACCATTGCTGCTCTTGTTAAGAAAAAGATCATGCATTTCTTGAGGAGTATCATAAGCCTTTAACCTCGATTCATCGTAACCCATTTGTTTCAACCTTTCGAATGTAAAAGAACCAGATTGGTAACCAATGTTCACTCCGCTCTTCTTCAGGTCATCCATGTGTTTCACTGTTGGTCTAAGCTCTTGAACCGTCAACATCGATGTCAGTGTTGCTGTGTAACTCTGAGTCAGAATTAGCAACACAAAGCACCAAACCACTACAAGAGCCCTTGTGTAAAAGCTCTCTGATGGCTTTCCTATAGATGAAATATTGAAATGATTAGTTTCTTCAAGGATTAGAAGCTGAAGTTGTGTGTGACAAAAACTTACTGTGTGCAAAAAACAGAGTCGAAAATGAGAAGTAGAACACACTGGACATTTTATCAGCTGTGTTCTGACTCTTGAAATCATCATCTGCTTGATTCTCAAAAATCCAAACCATGATTCCAATGTAGAGAAAAGAGGCAGCAATGAGGAACCAGAGCTCCTTTGTTAATGGTTTTAAGAAGACCCATTCTCCTTTCTCTCTATCATCCTTGACCGGCACCACGAATACAATACCCGTCTCCGAGTATGGCAATGCGAAATCGACATAAGTAGACCGATTAGCCAAGATTGTAGTATCCCCTACAGCTCCGTCAAACTCCTGTTAACATCATTTGAAAAACATTTTAAGAAAACATTTTAGCTCAATATGAGACATAGTTAAAAAAAAGAACACATTTTAGCTGAATATTGGTTATAAAAAAAAGAGGTTCCTTATAGGTTTAGGGATCAACGTAACTTACCCCAAGAAACACTTTATAAACCATTTCGTCGTAATTTCCAATTGATTTTCCATCAGGAGTTTCAAAGGGGACGTACTCATAATGGACATGATACGGCATTTGTTTTATGACCATGTCAAAAACATCTATGCAAAACCCGGTGACCGTTGGAACATTAGTGTTTGCATCCTTTGTTACCTCCACAAAGTTTTTGAAACCATCCTTCTTTGGAACCGCTATCCGCAACTTCTTTGCATTTGTTGGGAAATCCCAACCTTTAGGAACCAAAATAATGTCCCCAGGCCATATTATAGGTCTAAGGCGACGCGAGCTGTGTGACATATTAATGCCTGTTTGATTTACTCCAAGGCTCTTCACTAGTCCAACTTTTGATGTCCAGAATCCAATCGTTCTTTCCCCACTTTCCTCTATATTGATTATCTTGAAAACCTTAGCTTCTCGCTTCCCGTGTTTGAGCTGAAATCTACCAGCAACACCTTTGAAACTGACATTGGATAGCGCTTGAAGAAGCTTAGGACCAGAGAGAGCGACGCCGAGATCATCAAGATCAGTCCCAATGTCATCATTTCTTGAAATGTTTTTAGTCTTATTGAAACTCTTGTTTACGTTACTGATTTCTTCAATAGACATTGCAAGTGCTGTGGCAGCATCATAAGCCCAACATCCAAAATTATTTAGCTCTTCTCCTCCAAATCTTTTTCGCCAACGAGCTTCAAGATACGTTAGCTCTTTTGATCTTGAGAAATATGTCTTCACACCCAAGACACCATGCATATCTTCAAAGCTTGATTGCCCCATTAAACTCATGAGATCAGCTATACCATTTGTAACAATCCATACATATCCTTTATCTATCATCCTAATCTTTTTGGCTATCGAAAAAAGCCTCGATCCGAGATCAGGCAACATGTGCACGATAAACACTCTAGTGGGCATGGTCATTAGTTTGTAAAGCTCTTTCTCGATTTTTTCATCAGAGGAATGTAATGATATAGCGCTTCGGTTTCGAATACGAACATTGATCTCTTGAAGAGCATCAACTAAGGAAGGAAGAATACCTTCTCCGAACTCATTGTCAACATAAATAGGCACAACTTCTCTCCATCGAAATGACTCGATGATGGCGCTAATGGCGTGAACTTGAGCTGAATCGTCGTGTGTGACTCTGATGAAATATGGACTACGGAGTGAATCAAGAAGAGGGCTTGTTGCGGAGAATGAAATGATTGGAACTTGAGATTGGTTTCCGAGGTTAATTAAAAATGGAGCTTGCATTGAAGTAGCTGGTCCAATTATGGCCACCACTTCCCTCTTCTTTATCAAGTATAAAGCTGCGAAGTCAAGGTTAAACGTTTGCATTACCAAGTTAACCAAATAATTTATCTTAAAAACCAATATTTACATATACATGCATATTTGTAATCCTAGATGAAAAAACTAAATTTGAAGTTTAATTTTTTTTATTGTCG